TGGACTTCCTCTACTCCTGCCTGTTCCCAAAACGCCCAAGACCCAGAAAGTATGATCCATTAATAGAACAGAAAAAGATCAAATGAGATTCCAAAACTAGAAGTTAATGGTCATGACAAGTTGGCCTGGTGGTGAGCCTAGCTTTTCAGCATACCTGTTCATGTCCAAAATAAATAACTCAGAAGCTACAGTTCCATCATATAGGTTCTATAGTTGCAATAAGAGCTGGCAACACCCAAATTCTTCTTTGATTGATATGTGTATGTTTTGACTATTGAGATGTATGAAATGTTTATTCAGGTCGAATTGGGTATTGGTTATAACTTACTGGAAAAAAATCCTTATTGAGTCTTTGATCCAAAGGGCTAAAGTGCAAAGCTAACCCTAAGAGTTATTGTTAAGCAAAAAAACAAATGTGTATAATATATTCTCCATGTGGGTCATTTATTAATGTGCAGGGTGCATGACTGGTTGTGGCAGTAACTTGTGTGTCCGTGAACTGCAAACTTAAAAAAAAATTGGACCAACCCATCACTCACCCTAAATCCTAACCTAAAGAAAAAACTAGTATGGATGCTACTTTACTAAAGCCTACAGCAGGCATCCCCAAAGTCGGTCCTCGAGGGCCGCTGTCCTGCAGGTTTTAGAGGTTTCTCTGTCTTAGCACAGCTGATTCTGGTGATTGCAGTTCACCAAAAGCCTGCTAATCAACTATCAATATAAATCAGCTGTGCTGGAGCAGGGAAACCTCTAAAACCTGCAGGACAGCGGCCTTCGAGGACCGACTTTGGGGATACCTGGCCTACAGCAATAAAAGAATGTGTCTCAGGTCACTTGATCCAATGCCCATAACCTTTCATTTACCCTGGGTGTCAATATATGATGACTCGTCAAATATCATTGTCTGGCCGAAAGATTCAGTATGTGACGAGTTGGGAATGAGAATGTGTTTACAAAACCGAACAAAGCTACCAGCAATCAGAAACAAAGCTCTGCTAAGACATTCTATTATGCCTAATGAAAACTTTGATCATGCAAATATTTAATCCTATACTACCTCTTGTTTTGGATAGAAAAAATTAATTTTAATAAATTAAAAAACAAAAGGAATAATGGTGATAAAAGAGCAGAACTGATGGTTTAGAGCAGGATTCCTCAGTTAGTCCACTAATTAGTTAGTCCTTCTGAACTTGAATCGAGTGGCTGAATTGTTTCTCCAGTGTGTGTGGTCAGGTTCTCCAGAGTCCGGCTAATCACCTGTTTATTTGACTCAGGTGTGTTGAAGCAGAGACACATCTAAAATATGCAGAACAGCAAACTCTGAGCACCAGAATTAACGATAGAGTAAAGAAGCAAAAAGGTAAGTAAAAGAATATGCTGATGAAGGTTCTCAGTCATCCAGGTCATAGTCATTCCGTAAAAATTCAAAAAATATCCACTGGACTTGGTTTTCAAGATTTGAAGACGTTTCGCCACCTCTCCTGGAAGCTTTCTCAATTCAAATGTCTGGATCCGCAGACATTGACTCAAACTCACTGCGGATCCAGACATTTGAATTGAGAAAGCTTCCTGGAAAGGTGGCGAAACGTCTTCAAATCTTGAAAACCAAGTCCAGTGGATATTTTTTGAATTTCTACGGAGTAAGTAAAAGAAACAGAAACTGAGACGTGGAGAAGCCAGCAGGCTTTGGCACCCTGAGTGAGCGCTCACATGTCACTGTGGTGACCCTGTGAACAAAACACAACTAGAAGGCTAATAGTACTAGCTACACTGCCGGCAGGCAGTATAAAAAGTTCAAATGACCCTGATGGAGGTACTGTAGACAACCTACAAACAGAGAAAAACAGAAGAATAAGGAAGTGAATTACCACCAGACAAAGCCTAAACTGTTTCTGTGTCATAAAACAAACAGCCAGTTCTTTTTTTTGTGCTCAAGCAATATAAAATAAAATAAAGGGGGGTGTTTAGAGTAGGCATCACTGCACTAAGAGGGAGATGAGCGAATCAGATGAGTAAACAGAGTGAACACAGCAGCAATCAGGATACCATTGTGCATAACCCTGCAATCTACTGGTGTGATGTTCTTGCTGGTAACATTAGTTTGTAAACCATGAATGCATAAATTAGCGTGTTGGTGCACAGTCTAGTTTTCACATGTTTCTGTGTGATACATGATCAAAGAAATGTTTATGTGTAAATGTAAATTTTTTGGGTTCCAATTTTTCTGATGGCGAGAATTTAACAAGCTGTAATCACTGCTGCTCTTCTGCTAAATTGCCATGTGTTCATTCTGGTGGTTCTTCTTAAGATCATAAATGTAATAAAGGTTAGATAATGCTCAAGTATATGCACTGTATGTGTATTCAAATGGTTTTGTTGTGACCATAAGGTATTTTGATAAAATCCTGAAAACAGGATGCAAAACAGTATTTATTATTTAATATTACCAATACTATGCTACAGCTTTTCACAGGCATTATTTATACATATTTTTTTCTTCTTGTTTTTAAAAAAATGGGAAACCTGAGCAACAAAAATAAATAAATAAACTGTCAAATTGTATCCCTGATGTAATTTTGAATGTCTGGTCAATTTTATAATTAGCACTATAGGAAAACATTACACTGCTGTATCTGGTTTGCAAGACGTTTCCATATATTTCAGCTGTTGACCCCCTAAAAATATCAATGAAGAGGCTGGCGACCCTCTAAAAACACATAAAATCATTTCACTCTTTATTTATTTATAATAAAAGTAATGTAATTATGATATTTTAAAATAACTTCATTTTTACCTTAACCATATTAATTCAATTACAATTTCAAATGTGTTTTAACAATTTAATGGGAAATTTAATAATTTAATCTTGCATTTAATTTTTATTTAATCTTATTTTGTTTAATAATTGAATTATATATAACAAGGGTCTTAAACGTTTTCCAATCTAAAGACCCTCAAACTGATGGTGAGATGGGAGACCCCCTAAATATATATATTGTATAAAATTGTGTTATATCAACCTGGTCCTATATTCAATCCATTACAGATGAAGTCATGTGACGAAAGTAATTTCTCCCTGGGATTATTAAAGTATTTCTGTTTCCACGTTGATGGGACAGGTGTTGTGAATGAAACTGTGCCCAGCTTGAAAGAGCTCCTGTATGTCGCTGAATGTGTGCATTGATGACTGAAAGACATCTTCTGCCTCAATTTATCTGTTTACTAAAGTGTGCTGAATTCTTGTTATTGTGGATTTAAAGACATTTCAATTAGTGGAAAAAAATGCAGGGGTGAATATAAATAAGTCTGATAAACCAAAACTTTCACGACCCCCATGCAGTACCTCCGTGGACCCCCGAGGAACACGGACCCCTTGTTGAAGACCTCTGATATAACAAAAACAGCTAATTATTTGATAGGTTATCCAATAAAGTTTAGGCACTTTAACATGTATATATCTCATGATGTATTTTAGGCCCTTTATATAAACCTCTTAATGATTATGAAATCCATTTCATGACCTTCCATGTGGTGCCTCACGTCCCTCCAGGATACCCTGACCCCAACTTTGGGTATCTCTGCTATAGTGGTCTGTTTGTTTTTAGTATAATATACAATAGTTGCATTTTTACAGGAAAACTGGAAAATAAGTAAGAGGATAAGGACTTTTTGACATAGCTGTAAATTACACTTGGAGGCAGAAATGATAAGAGGAAAACAAACAAACATATAAATGAATATTTAAACTGTTTAAGAAAGCATTGTAATATACTGCATGAGGATTGAGTTTCAAAATGCTTTAAAATTTAATGAAATCTATGTAGAGTGAAGCAGGCAATTCCAGGAGATTCATTAGGGATGGATCCTATTTTCAAAACTGGAGACCCAACTAACAGAGAAAGCATCTATAGTTTAGTGTCCTTATGATCCCCCGATGATGTCAGAACACCATCTGGGCTGGAACCATCACTGTGTATGACATTAAGGAAGGAAATGGAATTTGGAAAGAGGGACCTTTGACTATCACCGATTGGTCTTTATTAAGGATTATAACAAATTTTTAGGTGCCAACAGATTTGTTAATATCCGTTTTTATCATTTGATCATATTTTTAAAAACAGGTGTTTCTTAGAGCTTTATTAGCAACCTGTAATCTTGTATACATCTCTAAAGGAATGTGTCTCCTCAGATCTGTAATGGTTGCAGAGAATAAATGAAAGAGGACGGGATGCAACACATTGACAAATATTCCCCATTTAGATCAATATCCTTGCATATAACCCAAAACATACCGTCTTATATTTCAACTGAGAAAAAATAGCGGTATCTCTAAAAGAAATATTTAAAGATGAACATGATTTTATTTCCACTTTACATTTTCGGTTTATGGATTTGTGGGATTTCATTTCTAAATAGGTTTATTTTCCCTTTTCGTGTTGAAAGCAGGGATCCCGCCGTCAGAATGACTGAAGACATCTGGCTGAGTCGGGATAAAAAATATGATGAGAAATAAATTACTGGTATGAAAACATACCTGAGGCAATTTAACTTCCCGTTTTCCGCCTGTAAACACCCTTATTTTGCCATATGATTATATGCTGAAAAGCAAACTGGAGGCAGAATTACAGAAGAATGTTGACTTTATGGATCTATTCTTCTTTTTTCGCTGCTTTACGGTTGATCACATCTAATTTAAAACCATGCTCCAAATTACCACGTCCTTCTTTTACCATTTTTCTGTATGTAAGGTATTGCAGCTTTTCTTCTTTTGCTTCAAACATGAGAAAAGATGCTTATAGCAGTCAAAGTTTGCAACAGGATTTAAAGTTAAGACTATCAAGGATAATATAATTCAAAAATACAATGCCTTAGAAAGTTTTGATATTATCTGAAACAACAGCATAAACAGAAAATAAGTGAATTTAGGCAACGCCTTTTTAACTTTATTATTATGCAGAAGCAGTATGAATTGTTTTATTTATCCTCTGTTTCTCCTCCAGAAATCTGCTGGATAAAGACACCTTCTCAAAGTCTGATCCAAGTAAGTACCATATAAAGACCAGCTTTTATTGGTAATTTGTGCTATTCAAACCTTTTAAAACACTGTTTACATCAGGGTTTTGGGTTTTATGACCTTTTTCCTCTTTCATGTTTAGTTTTTTGCTCAGATTATAGGGTCATTTTGAAACTTGATTTATCTTGAGAGCTATTAAAGCTAAAACTTAACTTTTAACTTTTGTTCAAACTGGCTGTATTTTTCTCTTTCATTTCCCTTCACCAAATCTCACATTTTTAATTTGCTGTTTTGTCCCCCCCCCCACAGTGTGTGTACTTTACACGCAGGGTGTTGAAACCAAACAGTGGCGAGAGGTGAGTATACACACCTAAACACACACATCTACATAACAAAGAAACATGAGTTTATTAATTTCCAATTACACTGTTCTACTTCAGTCGAGACATTTAATTTCAGTGGCTGTTTCACTGTTAGCTGATGGCTGTTTGTTATTGGGATTTATTTAAGATTCTCTAGCACCAGTTTTATTAAAATGTCACGGAAACATCCTCCTAATTGGGGCTTTAAAAGAAAAGACAAAGAAAAATGAAGGGGAGATCAATATGTTGGCATTTTGGGCAATAAAAAGCTCTATATGGAGGAATTACTAACACACTTTGCTCTACCTTGATTAGTGTATGTTGCTTATTTAGTATGAGGACCAGTTCTATGATCTATATATTTGACTTGTAAATGTCCTTAATAATGGGTTGTTGGCAGAATTTACTCTGATTATTTAGGAAACAGAAACTAGTCAGTTTCAAATAAAGTAGTGGGATTTGTTGCATTATGTTTATTTTTGTTTAATGTCTATATTATTAATTGTTATGTAGAATGAATAAAAGCAAATCTCCTGTAGTTAAATGCATTTACATGTGTGATCCAATAATATATTCCATATTTTATCAAGCAGTAGCATATGAAAAACCTTCCTCACGCTAATAACCTTTCCACCTGTTTCACTTGTTTAGAAGCAATGCAACTTCCATGTGTTTGTACTAGTGTTGCACCGATGCCATTTTTTGGCCCCGATACCGATACCTGGCTGTGCAGTATCTACCGATACCATACCGAGGACATGTGTTTGAAATTGATGTGTGTGTGTATATATGAAGGACTGCATACTACTTGGATGTAAAATAATTGCCATCATGGCTTTGTCAAGCTGCTGCCTACCTTTGTGAAGCAGGAAAAAGACTAATACAAAGGGAATCCAGTAGAACTTTTGACTGCCTACCTGGAAAGGGTGACAATACTTGAATAAACTTTTGGCTATCTAAATGGTATTGGTCCCCTATTTGTTGGTACTTGCCAATACCGATGCCACCATTTAGTGCTGGATCAGGGCCCCACCCGAAACTGGTATCGGTATCAGTGCAACACTGCTTTGTACACAATGTCATTATCTTTCACATTTAATTACTGAATACAGTATTCAAGTATTTTGTGTTACTATACCAAATATATAATAAAAAAAAGCTTGGAGAAAGAGTTTTGTTTCTTATGTCACTAATCGATTTCCACATATTTCAAATTTTTACGTGATATTGTTTTTATGTATTTCAGGTCACCAGAATAGTTTTTCATATTAGCATACATTCAAGTTCAGTCTAGAGAAGTAGCGAATAATATCATATTTATGTATTTCAAATATTGAAATCTTCATATGTTTTACATTATCCCAGAATGTCTAATATTACAAAATACCTGATGAAATCATATATTTCTAATCCAGCAACATCTATACATTTAAGGATGGTAAAAGTTGTGTGCATAAAGACAATAACTAAAAGATTAATACTCTTTGAGAAGAGGCTCACTCTTACCTATCATCGTGGATGAAATAAAGAACAAGTTCATGCAAGAACATAAAAATAATGATGGTAGCTAACCAAAAAAACCCAAAAACATCTTTACACACCTCAACTGTAATGGATACATATAACATCCTAATTTAACAAGATATAATAGTGTAATCTATTAAAAGGCATTTATGCTACATCTGATGCTCACATGTTCAAATACACTGAGAACAGATGGTCATGACTCATGTGGGTGTTTTTATTCCTTCTAATTTAGTATAAGCCTATGCAGTTTATGCTTGAATGCATTAATAGGTGTATAAAGATATAGGTGTCACAGCAATACTTTCTCTGTTTTCCCCCCACTCCTTTTAGTTCTTCCAGTTTTATAGAGGTAGTTTCTCACATAATTAAATTGACATAATGCAAATAGGACTAAAGGCATTACAGTTTATGTAAAGTCCTCACTCGAATCTTTGTATCAGTAATTATTTTTCATGGAAAAGTCCTCTCTGTTAATACATCTTTGGTGAGTGGATTTGGACGCATTAGATTATGTCTTTTGGTGTCCCAGTAAAAAGGACAGAATTAAAATTAAAGGGCTGATATAAAAAAAATATATATCTGAGATCTCTTCCAAACTCTTTTTTGAAACGGCATGCATGTCAATAAACGTGAAGAAACTTCAAGGGGCACGGATATATTCTAAAGTCACCTTTGTTACAGTGAACAAGACATTTCACCCATTGGGTAGTTCATGCAATTGGTTTTTAGTTAAGGGTATCCTTTTAGAAATATCTTAAATAACAAAGTTATTTGATATGCAGACACAAAAATATAGCTACTTGACAAATTACAACTAAAAAGAAATACAAACAAAATTAAATAAATTAAACCACAGGATAAATATAGAAACAACAGAGACATGACTAGTGATGAACTACTGTAATGTTACGCTGCTGCATTTGTCCCCATTTAAAAATGATTCGCTCTCAGGGCCCTGTCACACTTTGTTGATTAAGATAGTGTATGTCTGACGTCCCAGAATCTTCTAAAACGCTGGCATACACTAAACTTTCTATGTATTCATAATGTGTTCAGAGCCTGTCCAACAACAGCCTAACTTATGTATAAGGCAATGCAGCGCAATACTCATGAAATGATGCACAAGCCATTGTCCTGCTAGGGGCAGCAATGTGCCCTGAGGCACCCGGTCTGTATAAAAAGATGTCTTTGATCGCTGTATTAATATAGCTGCTGATCACCGCTTGCCAGAAACCCCCAAAAACAATAAATAAAAATAAAAATATTAAAGATAGAGAGAAAGAGGTTTTGCAGTCACAGTGGATTCAGGGTCATGTCTGCTAGGAAGCTTGCTGGTCGTGAACGAAGGGAGCATCAAACTTACTCACCTTTTTGCTCACCCTGTGATAGGGATGAGGTCTGGAGGAGAACTGACAGTTTCCTCCCGTGAACCCCCTTTTCTTCCAAAATGATACCAATTCGCCATTTTACAGTAGCTGTAACTTAGAGTCACGTTCAGGGATCATCTGGAAAACGTGAAATACATTGATATATGTTGGAGATAAGTACTTGATGGTTCTGGATAAGCTGGACACCTTGACCTATAAACAGAGATGGCAAAAGTACTCACTTTCCGTACTTGAGTAAAAGTACAGATACTTGTGTTAAAAAATACTCTGGTAAAAGTGGAAGTACTGATTAAACTTATTTACTCAAGTAAAAGTAACAAAGTACAGGCTTGTAAATTTACTTAAAGTATAAAAGTAAAAGTAGAAACCACTTTTTTCATGCTGTTGCCTACATTTTAAATGGATGTCTGCCAATAGGACTAGATCTCCGTTGTGTTCATTTTCAATCATCTCGTCGTCCATGCTACTATGCTAACGCCACCGCCACCAAGCTGCAATGATTTGCCACCAATGAATACCGCCGAATCTGTCGATTCATCTTGTAGTGGTGCGTCAAATGCAACGTAGATTCCCATCCAATTAGATTGAATTTGGTATTGATGACGTGAAAAATAATAACGGTAACTCCATTGAAATGATTCAAAACTAAAGTAACGAGCCAATTTTTTTAAATGTAAGGAGTAGAAAGTACAGATATTTGTGTAAAAATGTAAGGAGTAGAAGTAAAAAGTCGCCATAAAAATAAGTAGTAAAGTAAAGTAAAAATATCAGAAAAATCTACTTAAGTACAGTAACGAAGTATTTGTACTTTGTTACTTCCCATCTCTGCCTATAAGTACACCTAACGTATCTTAACGATCGAATAACTTACCTGTAACTTATGACCCACATATGTGTATATGCTGGCATATGTCAATAAATTTTGAGCATGCTTAATATCTTCATGTACTTGCCATATGTCGAAGTGTGTGTTTCAGTGTGCTTCAGCGTGCTCATAACTTATACAAAAGATACCCATAACTTATCCAACATATGGCAGCATTTTTGCCAGATTTTTTTGTATTTCAGGCAGACGCTGGTCTAGATCGTCAAGGTGTGACATGGCCTTGAACAGAAGTTTTAAGGTCTGTTCATTTTAATTATATGTAGACTTTGAGTTTTTTTGGTTTTGATTAGCTTTTCCTGATGACATTTTCCAAGTCAGACCAATTTAAAGTATTTCAGCGTTTGCATCAAACAAATACAACAAGTAAAAAAACATAAAAAAAATTAAGTATCTCTAATAGCACTTAATAAAATGAGTATTAGTCATGCATTTATCTCCCTGTCGCTTTTCCTTCATTGCAATTTATTTGTTTACTAATTTCAATCCAACAAATCTGTTTGTTCTTAATTTTCCAACAGGTAAAACACATTTAACTTGTGTGAAGTTATAACCTTAAGACTAACTTTTAGTAATTTATTGGGGATGAAAGCAACTTTATAGATTTCTCTAAGAATATTTTCAGTAAAATGATAAATGGCCTGTACTTGCACAGTGCATTTGCAAGTCAGAGAACTTGGCCAAAGGGCTTTACACTACATTCATCTATTCACTCACACCCTGATGGTGGCCAACTGCATTGTAGAAACAGCTGCCTAGGGGCACACTGACAGAAGCGAGGCTGCCGTAATCTGGTGCCACCAGGCCCTCTGACCACCATCAGTAGGCAATGCGGGTGAAGAACCCCAGGACAAAATGACACTGTAAGCCAGAAACGGGGCTTGGACCAACAACCCTGCAGTTTTAGGGCCATCTCCTTGAGCCGACACCGCTGTCACTCCAGCAATTGTCATATTTGACATTTCTGCAGTTTATGCAAACACACATTTGCATAAAACAAACATATTAATCCACTCTGATTTTTAAACTTAAATAACAAACACAAACTATGCTTCTTAGTTAAAAATCACACTACAGAAATGGAAATCAAACTAAGTCAAACTCTCTTAAAATACGTAGGTATATTTACCCTTAATTTGAGCAGGTAAGTGAGGTAATGGAATAAGATAATTTACTCTATTATCTTTTAGTTTATATCTAATGAGCTTATTTTAAGGGTAGAAATACTCATTTTATTCACATAGTGTCTTATTTACCTGCTCAAAGGGCAAATACACTTATTTTAAATAACTTAACCTATTTTTAGAACAATGTTGCAGCACATGAGTTAACTATGAACATTCCTGTGTTAAATTCCAACAGGCATAGTTGAGTATGAATAGGACGAGGCCTTCCCCAAGCTGATCCAAAAACATCTGGAGAAGGAAACTGTCAAAGCTTCTTGATATCAAAGCAATAACAAAATGAATATTTTCAAGGCAACAGTTACAGCCAGACTCACTAGCTACTGTAGAGGCATGATAGTCACTCCAGATGTATGTGTATATCTGGTAGCATGTGTGTTTCTTTATGTTTAAAAAATCTGAATTTCACATATGAAATTCAAAGCTCCATCATAGCACACATTTACTTTTACTATTTTGCCACCCAACGCTTTTAGCATCTGCTTGAAAATTCACATCCCATCCAAAATGCTCCCTATGCTCTTTAATTCCTGGGGTTTTACTAAATGCACTTTATGTTTTTGTGTGGTTCTCTGTTAGTGTTGGAGAATTGCTTAATATACCACAGAGCTTTTTAACTGAAGGACAAAGCAAGAAAAAACCTCAAAATGTTGGTCTTACACTAATTCACACCAGTGTCATTTACCTCTGCCTGTGAAAACAGAAGAAACCACCAAGCTCATTATTGCAACAGTCTGTAACTGTCTGCTGAAGAGTCCAGGAGGAAAATAAAATCCCATGTTGGTCAAAGAAGTGCACAAAACCAGCTGTTTTCTGTGTGCTCCAGGGAAAAAAGATAATGAAATTTCGGTCAGGTTTGGGACAGAGAACCCACAGAGGCAACAGAGGATTATCTTTACATCTTCACTTTGCACGCGTGACAATTTGCTCGCACCCACAGGTCTCTGGAAACACGTTCACATTTTAATATCAGAAACCGAAAGTCTAGCTGCTCAGTTAGCCATATGGGCAGCGAATCTGTGTGAGTTAACGTTCGTGTATGTGTGTGATATCGAGGGTGAAAACTCAGGAACTTCATGCCAGATTCTCATTAGCCAACTCCTGCAGCCGAGCGTCATCTAATGAACTCTGCAGAACAGTATTGTCTGCTCCACTCAGCGGGGAAATCACATTACAGAACTCATCTTTAACCATCACCCGCCTCTTTGCTAACATGTTCTCACAGCTTCATCAACACCTCGGGGTCTCTTGGAGATTTGAGGTACGGCACAGATTCAATTTCTGCCTTTTATTTCTCTTTCTCCCATGTTTATGTACAATTCAGTTAGTGGGTTCCTTTGGTAAAAAGAACAGTTGAGCTAGTCAGCAATATGTGTCACAGAGTTTACTGTGTGACACATTGCTTTATTACAATTAGTGAAAAGTCTTTTCTTTTTGTCAAATGATGACAACCTTTACCACTATTAGAGAAAATAAAACAGACAAAAAGCTAGCTTTCACAGCTGCTTTGAAAGCTACTAAACTCACGTAAACCTACAGTTCTGTTCCAACAAGACTGGGATATGTTTGTGGGAGATCTACTTTTATGTTTTTTTATGGTAAGAAACAACAATGTCAAATTAAACCAAATGGAAAAAGTTTGGCTGTATGCTAATTTAGGCAATAGAGTTCCTTTACTTGTCAAAGAGAAATATGGTACACTAGTAGCCATTCAAAATGTCCCCAGCTTCCTTGATGGGCCCTTAACTGGTCTTTGGCTGGTCCCCTACAATTCCTTTTTAACATCAATCTCCCAAGAAAAGGAGGGGGTTCTCTGGAAGTTGGAGGGGATTTAGCTGGGAGTTGCAGGGAAGTGGGCTACCATTTGGCTGGGAAGGGCCATTTTGAATAGCTGCTACTGTAAATTCAGTAGCCCTTTCATAATATATCTCCTTCATTAGATTCTTCCATCTAGAGAATGCTTGCCTTATGTTTATCCTTGTTTTAAATGTCTCTGGTTTTGTTATCTCTTCTGTTTTGGCTTACTTGGGCATCGTGAAACCGTTTCTTGTGCCTTTGATGCATATGCAATGTCCTGTATTATGCTGCAGTAGTGCAGACTTTTAGTTATTGGGTTAGGTTGTCCAAATAAACTGAATTAAATAAACTGAAATGATCTTCACCGCAGCTTTCACTCCCACTGGACTGTCAGCAAGGGGAAATGCATTATTATTCTGAGTTTTAGTGCTATTTTATCTCTCCCTGGCATCTGTACTTTCAAGATGGCAGACTGACATGGTGATCTGCAAACAGCTGACCAGCCTTATGTAGGAACTAATATAAAATTATTCGCTGATGAAAATGTACCTGATTATTAGTGGAGGTAATAATACACCGATAATAGCACATATTTAAATATAGTCATTGATTTCAGGCAGTTAAAACTAAACTATGTGTATAGTGATATTTATTTTTTTGTTTTTGATAACTAATATTAAATCAGACTTAAGATTTCTTGTTTAATGTCAATTAGGATAATCAAAAGGATTTCTGTTTGCTAAAATCTGGAATCATGAGTTAGAAAATAAAATCTGATCATTTTTACTTACTTTCTCGGATTTAGAAGTTTTCTTAGTGTTTTGTACAACTAAACACTGTATGAGCTGTATCAATCTCTCCACAAGCTTTTTAGGATAGATTGCTGGGATTTTGAGCCAATTCTCCTGATAGAACAGGTGCAGCCGTCGGCTTTCATGCGAACAAACACCATTCTACCACTAAACACACACTTTCTTTGGCATTGGCTTCCAAAAAAACAAACTTTTATGTTTAAGTCACTTTCATGACTGCTGTAATTGTATGTTCAGTGTCATTCCCTATTTTGCAATAACTGTTTGTGCTCAGGTTGTACTTTTGTTAATTAATTGCTTAATTTCTTCCATATGATCAATTATTATTATATCTTTCTACTCCAGATGTAAAGATGATCATTATTACATAACACTTGTTTTAATTCTTCTCAGACCAAAGAGCGTGGCTCAAAAAAAAAATTTTTCCCCCCTGAAAGAGCTTATAAACCACAGTTTGACGTTTGTTTCTGTTGGAGAAATTGCCACCCTACTGACCTTTCAGCTCACGTCTGTCATGTTGTTTTACTTTTGACAAAGACACTCTCTTACCAGCTCCAGTCTTAATCTCCAGTATCGCTCCTTTTTAAGTCCTTCCAACCTCTGAAAGTGTTTTGACACTATAGCCAGCATTCCTGCTGCCCTTCTGACAAACCCACAAACATTTTTGCACGATGCACAGATCAGTCTGCAATCATTTATTCCATTAGAAAAGTTCAAACTCATATCCACTATTATTGACCTCATGATTTAAACTTAAGCCAAAATAATAAGAGCACCACATTCTGGGTTAATGATAGAGACTCAACCAGCAGCACAGGATTAGCTATTGTTATAAGTACTGATAAGTTTACTTTTTATGGCTTGACAAACAAAAATAAAACCCAAAAGCAGAGATTCGAAAATATTAGAATCTCTTTATAGACACAAATTTTATAAAAGAGACAGAAACACAGCAAAGCTATGAGTAGAGAATGTGGTAAACATTTTTAAAGCAGTATACTGTTTGATATAAAAATGTCGTAAAGCTGTCCTGGGAAAGCCTCCTTAGCTGATGTTTATCTGCACACAGTTTTAGGAAATTTCAGTTTTTTTTGTGGCATATTTTCCTCTATTTGGCACCTTAGAAGCAAATTTCCTGCTAATTAGGAAGCCTAAATCACTGCTGTTCTCCACCTCCACTATTCTCACCCTCATTCTCTCACCTCATTTCATGTCCAAATCCCCTAGTTTTGAGTAATACTCCTCTTTTTCTACCCCTCTTTGTACCTTCTATGCCATTTTTATTTGTAATCTCCTCTTTCTCTGCCTACACATTTTCACAGGATCTTTTACTCATCTTTTTTCCCCCTATAAGGTTGTGATGAGCGAGTTTTGTAATTAGGGATAAAGGTACGGATCAAAGAGCTAAAGGAAAAGCAAACTAACTTCCCTTCAGTGCACCAGCTGCATGTAAAAAGTCAGCTAATAACATTGAGTGAATTAATGTATGTGTATACTGTCCACCACGTCAGGCTTAAAGTAATTGGTTTCTCAGAAAACCGAGGAACAGATTATGTGCAAACAAACAGCCCTAATAACTTTTTAAATAATTTTATTTCACATGTATTTTTATATTTTTTTTTGTCCTTCTTGTACTCTAACCAACATCTGTTTTTTTATTCTCCTAACAGTTTGGAAGGACAGAGGTGATAGACAACACCCTGAACCCCGACTTTGTTAGGAAGTACATCTTGGACTACTTTTTTGAGGAGAAACAAAATCTTCGCTTTGACTTGTGAGTTATAAACTATAATCTTTTCTTCCAGTCTTCAGTCACTCACTTATTTTGGTTTTAATTCTACTACTAGAAAAACTAGAAAAACAGCTTCCTGTTTGGCAATTTAAACAATCCTGTTTGGATTTTCAGTTTAAAAAGATGAACAGATTGCCACAGAGAGCTCAAAATGTGCTCAGATTTTTGAGGCATTAAACAAAATGCTGCAAGAATGCAATAAAAAACTAAAGTTAAAGGTTTCTTATTTTCCACATCGTCATATCAGGATTTAACCTCTTCATGGGAAATGTTGTCTTCCTTCAGGCAAAATTGGGCTCATTTTACCATATATTATGACCTTTTTTCTTTGTTTTCATATGGACCAAAGGTATCTGAACTACAGACTGATTGATTAATTAATTAATCGACTATGTAGTGCTTGACTATATTTCCATTATTGTCAGATCCCTATCAGTAATAAAGAAGGAATTATGTCATGTTACCAAGATATTATTTCTGAATTTAAAAAAGATCTATTGTTTTTGTCACACGTTTGATATTGCTCTCACTCACACACGCACTTTCCTTCACTTTCATTGTTTTACATTCACATTCAAATCAGATTACGTTCACCTCTCAGGAAATAAAGGTTGGGTTGAACCATTTCTAATTTAATGAGCAGCGCAAACAGAAACATCTGAAAGATACTTAGATCCAGGTTCTTTTATCTTTGCCTCTTCTAAATGAGCACGTCTGATTAGTTTTTGTCTGCCCACCTCATCAAACACAAGGGTTTTCAGTTTAGCACATTACAATGTGATCTATCTGTCTTTAACTGTGTTGTTTTTTTCTTTTATTTGCTTTTTTATTTACTACCAAAAATGCCTTTCAACAGCTGGTTGCCCCATTCCCATTTTTTGCTGTTTGTCACAACATGTCCTTGGTTTTTAGAATAAAAAGCTGACATCTGGTGTCCGTCTTCGTTCTTTCATTCACTGCGTTCTTTTGTTACTGCATTCATGTTTTTTCTTTCAGAGCATTTCAGAAAAAAACTCTCATCCTGTTAATATTTTCTCCACTAATATTGCTGCCTTTGTTTTCTCTTTCAGGTACGATGTTGACTCTAAAAGCCCAGACCTGTCCAAACATGTGAGTGCTTGTTCTAAAGTTAACCTTGAACCTCAGATAAATGGAACTGAATATTGGCTAATATCTGAGCTGCTGGTTTGAAACGGTCTGTTAAAGAGAAAAAGTATGGCTTGTCAAACTTTATTTTAGCTGAGAAATATGTAGTTGTTGGTGAACATATCATGTTTTTTTTTTTTTTTTGCTTTCTGCACGGTTTGATTTGTAGTCGTTAACAGCATGTTTTTTTTTTTTTTTTCCCATGATGGAATAAAACAAACCCCTTTTTTTGCCTGAGTTTGCACATATCCAAATGCTAATTTATCTTTTTCATTTTATACAATGTTGATGGACAGTGGTGGATTCTTCATAAAAAGTGTTTTTCTGGGTTAAAACCCTCATTCTGCCTCCATAAATACAATAAAAGTATAGAATTTTCCTCTTTAAAAGTTAATGAAAAAAATGTCAGGTCTTTGGCAGTAACGCCAGGGGAAGTGCTGCAATTTCTGACAAGAAAATATATATTTTTTTTTTTACAAAGAAAGCAGTTTCTTGGCTAAGGCATCCCCGGGGAATAAGAAAGTACTATAGACTAGTGAGAATAAACCAGAAGTTTTTGCCACTGTTCAAGAACATACATTTAAACAACGCATCAACATAGCAGCACATCCACAGTGGAACACAGTGGTGATAACACTGTTTTCTTGGGATATGTTTTATAAAAAAAAAAAATAGACTTTCTATTTACTTTCATGAACAATCCTAAGTGATAGTAGGCTTAGACAAAAAACTTTGAAGTCCACTAGAAGTACTTTGTGGTCACAAATTATTATGTTGTGGAACATTTTTGCATTTCGGTCACAGTATAACTCTATTATTCCACATGTTAGTTACCAGATTCTGGGCTTTCCTCTTCCTTCCTCCTCCTCTTCCACTTGTCGCAAAGCTCCGCCGACCCCCTTCTACATACACAGCATGGAGAGCCCTCCAACTACAGTCACCTTAAACAGCCACATTTGATTACCTATGGCCCCGTCCACACGAAGCCGAACCCTGGCCTAAACGCACAAATTTTTCACCAAACCAGCCTCTCATCCATACGAAGCCGCCGTTTCGGGGGTCTGTAAACAATCTTTTTTTTATTCAGCCTTCAGAGTGGGAAGATTTTGAAATGCCGTTTTCGCGTTTCCATCTTTAAGCTCTAACCACATTTTTTTTTTTACACGCAATGCGTCATAGCGTCGCCTCTAAACACGCATGCGCGACACAGTATCACAACAACAATGGCGCCGTACTGTGTTGAATGGTTGCTGCTAATGCTACTCACCCTGCTGTCAGGCTTAATACAGAATCTTCTTCTTCTGGAATATCTCCAGGAAGAACAGAGCAATATCGACGACATAGTTCAGCACCTAAATTTGACTGAACCACGAAAATGGACCCGCAGGGCAACCATGTATAAATATTAGTGCGCATGCCCAACATTTCGTCGCCTATTTTTGCTTTGGCACGACAGCACCACTTACAGGCCTGGCATACATTTTGCAGTGTTTTCATGCATTCGTGTGGACGATCACATTTATTTTACGTGTCCGTCTTTACGACAAACGTTCTGGAAAATATTAGCGTTTCGTGTTCGTTTTGACTTTGTGTGGACGGGGCCTCAGTCCCCAGTGAGGGGAGATGCAACCCAGTAAGAGAAAAAAGGGCTGTTGCATTGATAAATTATTTTTGATTTTTATTTAGTTTATAATTAGATCCATGCATCCATCCACCGATCTTCTACTGCTCATTCCTTTAGGGTTACGGTGGGGCCGTATCTTAAGTAGTCTATAGCGTAAGGCGGCTACATCTGGACAGGTCACTAGTCTGTAGCAGGACTATATTTGCTGTAAAACTAGGTTACCAATAATTTCTATATGCAACTTCAGCTTTCCTTCCCTATAATCAGTTTCATTCTACAGTATATATTCAAAATCTTATTCAGTATTATCGGTTTCATTAAATATATTCAGAGTTTAATTAAATTATTTCTGAGTTTTCAATATAGTTAGTTTTATTGAGTATATTTTGCTTAATTTAAAATTCAATTTTTTTTTATTTTGAGAGCTTAATTTAATAATCTATCTATCTATCTATCTATCTATCTATCTATCTATCTATCTATCTATCTATCTATCTATCTATCTATCTATCTATCTATCTATCTATCTATCTATCTATCTATCTATCTATCTATCTATCTATCTATCTATCTATCTATCTATCTATCTATCTATCTATCTATCTATCTATCTATCTATCTATCTATCTATCTATATCTCTATCTATATCTCTATCTCTATCTATCTATCTTACAGTAGCAACCACTCTATGCTTTCATACCTTAGCATTAAATGCTCCTGATTCTGTGTGAGCATTGAAAAATGCTTTTGTATCATCTAAATTTGACAAGCTGTGGTTTACATAGACTTTGTGTTAAAACAACACGGTTAAGGTCTCATCTAGTTTGATACACAAATGTTATTAAATCTGTCATGGTGTGAAAACTACATAAAAGTTTTTACATTTTGCTTGACTCTTGAAACGCCATTTCCCTTCACTGCCAAATAGACAAAACGTGTAGGATATTGGGCTGGGTATGGACAGGTGCATATAACAGATAAAAGTGTATTTTTCATTTGCCTATGAGGTTGTGCTGCCCTGGGCAGAAAGCCCCTTACCTATTTTAAAAACTCCCAACGTTGTTTTCATTCTTTTAGCTCTGTAATCCACTGTCTGCTCTATGAACTTAGATTTCTTTGCGTATTTATTTTTATTTATTTATTTTTTGTTAGTTGTTATGCTAGCCCTGCAGTGGCAGGTAGATGCAAATAAAACTTTAATAGAGCAATGCTTTTGACTATTAGTTTCCATTTTAAACAGTGCAGCATATTCTATTTCAAAGTATTATATTTTACTTTGACCCCATAAGTTGTGTTTCTCGCCATTAGAACTGGAAACTGTGGTGCCAGAAAGCATTGACAAAAGTTTGGAACAACAAAATAATCATTCTTAATGATTATTTGATGTGTTTGGATAACAGGGGGTTTGTATTTTCCCATCGTTAGCTTCACCTGTAAGGAGCTCTGTGTTTTGGTTCTTCAGCATGGTGTCAATTTAAACTGGGCCATAAGAGTTTTCAGATACTTGCTATTGTGTTGTGTCTTGGTATATGATGTGCTCTGTTGTTACTGTTGTTTGCTGTTGTTGTTGCTGCTGCCGCCCAACTTTTCTGGAAGCCCGCAGAACTCAATGTAGGTCCCTGCATCTCCTCTTACACTCACACTGCATGGTCGCTGTTTCACATTAATGATCTGTTTCTCAGAGGGAACGACTGTGTCAGTCATTAGGTTAGAACGCCTAAAAACCAAAGCAAGCGACTGAACATGTCTAAATCCCCAGAGAGCACCACAGAGGACAGGGTGTAAACAAAATGTTGTTCTCTCATATCATTGCAATTTAGAAATGGAAAATATATTCCTATCATAACTTGCTGAGGGCATCAACAGTTTACAATGAATGCTACCGGTAGGGAGAGAGAGCCAAGATTTCTCTGAAATGTAAAACATGTCTGGCTGATGATGAATTATTTAGCTATCCCTGTCTGCCAAGGCCAAACTTCAGGGCTTTTAGGTTAGATTGCCTCACCTTGCAATACTGAAGATAAATACCAAGTCTGATTCTAAGCCTGATTCTATACCAGTCCTGTCAGTCCTATCCTGATAAACGTCAGTAATCCGTTTCTTTCATTTCTCAATTTGAAATTAACAATAAAAAATATCAGACACAATTCTGATTTTCATATTTCATTACATAAAGTAACGTAGAAAAATGAAGAACAGTTGGTTTTTATTTCAACATTTCCCTACTGCTTTAAATATAAAAAAACAGATAAAAAGTATTTGAATTAAATTGTTACATTTCTTTTGGGCTCTGTGGGGTAACAATAGTTTTGTGACGAACAAGCAAGGAAGACATTAGCATCGGAAAGATGCACCAGTGAAGAATTTTCAGTGGCAGTTTAGAAAGTTATCCAGATTAGTTCTATCTATTTAGAACCTCAATCAGTCATGATTTTAGAAATGGCAATTATGTCATGAAGAGGGAAAGATGGACCCAGTATTCAAGATGAGACAGACAGCAGCAAAGTTCAAAATATTTAACATAAATACAGAACAGAACAGAAGCGCACCGCCCAATAACTGACACTCTGGAGGGACAAACACAGGTAAGTGACCACAATCATCTGACAGGAGATTATTATCTGTGTGAGTCACATACCTGGATTAACAGTTCAGTCCATCCTCTCTGAGGAAGGCAGGATGCAGCCGATGGACTGCCAAACGAGCTGCGGCCCAGAGTGTCCCCAATGCAGCAACCTCAGTAAGCAGGCAGGAATCCGATCCAGGTCAGGGATACAGATCAGAGAGGAACGGTTATGGAATCCAGGAGTCCACAGCCTGATCAGGGGTTCCGATCCACACAGGAACAGACTGATCCAGGCCTACAGAAATCCACAGTGCGTTAAGGCAGGTTTCGAGTTCCATGCGTCAAGCAACAAGCTCAGACAGAATAGCACAGATGAAGACAGGCAGGCTCAGTCGTTGATGGAAAGAGACAAGACATGGTACTAAGATAACTGCGAAACTTTAAACTGTACTCCACCTAGCAACCAGGACACGAAAAACACCAAAACCCTCTCAACCCCTTACAAATGTCAAACATCAAGCAGGAATAACAAAGATGATCTGGCTAAGATAGCTGGGCTGGGCCAAATATAAAGCAGAATGATGCTCAGAGACCAAGAGTGGCAGTCTGTGGGAGTGGTTATTGAACTAATAGATAACTGTCAATGAAAGCAAACCTCAAATGGTAAGAACCATGCAATGATTTTCAAATACAGTATGTCTGTATGAGCTTATATGATTTTGCCAATGGGACCTATGGGAACTGGTTGTACATGGACAGAAGAAAACAACAACTGGGGATTGAAAGTTTGTCAGCCCTCAGTCATGGGCAATCAATCAGTTTTAATTTGGATCATTTTTATTAAGGATATATTCTTTAAGAACTTGCATTTTTGCATCATATGGAATTGACCGTCTTTCCCTCAAGTAGCTGTAGTTCTATGACTTATAACTCTAAAAATGTTGCAAAGTTGTACTTGATCAGGATCCATTGCTTTCACTTTCAAGTGCAATCGATGCCAGTTATCAGGTTGTTATCACTTATTTTAGGGAAAACTGTTTTTAGCAGTAAATCGTTCCTTACAGTACAGCATCAAGCATCTCTTAATTTCTTTTACATGACCATAAGAACATTAGCCGACACCTTGATGCCATTATACATGTTTAAAGAAGATATAACCGGGTAAGTTGAAAGTTGAATACTGCTGGCAATGGATCTTAATCTAACTGAAATGTCTCAGAATGGAAATGAAGATGGAAACGGCTATTTGAAGAATCCAATCAGTTTTTCCATTAAGTTGTTTCAGGGTTCTGATCATGATCTAACCTTTGTGTGATCAGCTATTAAATTGTATTCTGTCACACAGTGCCATAGAAACTTGATCATTTGTTTATAGCAAGCATTGTATACTTAAAGCATTAATGAACTGGACTGCATTGCTTTCATTGGTAAATGGTTTGTGGTTTTAAGTGTAGTAGATGTGTACGTTAATTTCCATACTTATAGGGGAGAGTGTTTTTTCTTTAGTTAAGTTTTGGCTATTCAGCTGAATGTCAGTTTGAATAGTTTAGCAGGGGTGACTTTGGCCTATGCAAGGCAAGACCAGTTCATCTTAAGGTTGAGGTCCGAGTCACTCATCACAACAAGACTTCGGCCACAATCAGTGGTTTCTTGCTGTACTGGCTGAAGCTGTGTGCTACACTTTATCGTTTTTGCTTACTGGTGGTGTTCAGACAGCCCAGTGGTGCTTGTATATGTTAGCCCTGCCTCTGTCAGCGTGCCCCAGGGGAGCTGTGGCAACCATTTAGCTTGCCACCATCAGTGTATGCAGTGTGAATGATTTAATGTAGTGAGTTAAAGTTGGAGGTAAGAGTGGGTTTGGAGTCCAATAACTGAAAGAGATACAATTCATTGATTATAGATTGGCATTTTATGTTGGAATTCAGTAAACCTTCATATTTCAAATAAAAAGTGAAATTGATTATATTCTTTAACTAAGACAGAAATATTGATTTCATTTAAGTATATCAGATATCAGAGAATATCATATCAGAATTTTTTATTCGTGTGCACTTTTGGCATAAACAAAACTTTATACTGTAGTGTTCTAGTTGGTTTTGTCAAACATCAGATGGATTTTTCAAATAGTTCTCTTAAGGGAGAGTTTTTTCTCTAGGAATCTAGGGATATCAGACCATTTCCACTTCCGATGTTACTGCTTCACAAAGCTCCTTGAGAGTTACCATTGGCCTCTTGGCTGCCTCTTCGAAAGATGCTCTCCCTGCACAGCCTGCCATCGTAAGTGGACAGCCATGTTTGATAGGTTTCTAGTTGCACAATTCTTGTTTTATTATCAGATGATGGATTAAATGGGATTTGTTTTTTTAATTCCAGCTGTAATCATGGTGTAAATTTTATTCCATTTGCCCATTTATGTGACTTCAAGGGAGTTAATCACAAATGACTTACAGGAGTAGCAAAGAATAGAAGGAGGATTAGATGATTGATATTTGTATTTTTAAATATTTCCAATTCATATAAATATCTACAAAAAGTAAATACAATTTGTGATTATACCAACACAAAATGTCTAAAGGTTCATGGGTTATAAATACTGTTATAAAGGACTGTAGTTGTCACGAATCAGAACAGGGGACCTAGTATTCAGGCAAGACAGACAGTGGGATTACTCAAAAGTAATTTTTTTGAAAATAAACAGCTCTGTAATAACAGCTGCTAAGACGTCTGTGGCTGGAAAATCTGGAGAGAAATACACTGGTTAGTGACCATGGAGCAAGATTATGCATGTGAGTTACTAACCTGGTTCACAAGTTTAGTCCATAGTCGGAGAACGAGGTAGAAGCCAGCTGGTGGGCAGCCAACAAGACGCAGCGGGCACCGCCCAGGGTGTCCCTAGATGCTGCAGCCCTGGAGAACATGCAGGAGTCCGAAGCCACATCAGGCAAACAGATCAGAACAGGAACAAGCAGGCTCAGAGATCCAGTAGTCCAAAGACAGTTCAGGCAAACCGATCAGACAGGAACAGGTCAGGATCAGGTAATCAGAAACATTCAGCTATGCTAAAAACCCTCTCACCACTGGCATGAGAGAACAAGAACCGGCAGGCTCATTGGTTTAGATGCAGAACAGGTAAGGATCAGGAAATCTGAAACACTAAGGTATGCTAAAAACCCTCTCACCACTGGCATGAGAGAACAAGAACAGGAAGGCTCAGTTGCTGAGAGGCAGGACAGGTCAGGATCAGGAAATCAGAAACACTAAGGTACTTTAAAAAACTCTGACCACTGGATGGAGAGAACAAGATAACCTGGCCTGAAAACTGGATGCAGGCACCTTAAAAAGAGGCAGGAGCAGGTAGATAAGATGAGAGGTAATGAACAACCAGGCGGAGTTACACAGGCGAATGGAATGAATAATTAAGCCAGTCATGAGCGTCAAAATCATGACAGTAGTACAAAGTTGGGAGTCAGCAATTGTATACAGTAATTTTACAGGTTAAGAGTTAATGTCAAAGCGATTACTTAATATATTATTTTTAAGTTTGATTTGATCTTAAAATCGCAAGTCAAAAGACTGCTTGAGATGTCACTTGCATGACTCCAGTGAATGTCATTTTCTAATTCTGAACATAAGTTTTTCTCTCCTGACTTGACATCCAAAATTTAGCTCTACCTCTTATGTTCTTTTCAACCTCCCCTCTTTGCTTCCCTCCAGGACTTTTTAGGTCAGATGTTCTGCACTCTCGGGGAGATTGTTGGATCACCAGCCAGTCGACTTGAAAAACCACTGGGGTGAGTAAGAATTTCACGCTGTTTTTTTTCATGCTCCCTGACTCCAAACAAGATTAAGAAAAAATTTATTGTGCTAAAAGTGGTGGCAAGACAGAGGGGGGAAATATTTTAGAAGGAAACATAATCACCTCTCTTGAAATGCATTAAAGCATTACTTTGGGTTTAAAATTTTGAAACTCAGCCTCTTTTTCTCTGAAGGATTGGTAGAAACAGAAGGAAACATATGCTAATTTTGAATAAATAAACCTGAGTCAGAAACTGAAGGAGATTGAGATAAAGAAAAAAAAAGAGGAGGAAAGAAAGACAAAAAAATAAACATGGGTGATTAAGACAAAGATGTGAGGAAAAGATACTGATCAGACCAAGGAAGGGTTGGTGAGGAAGGAGACAACACATCTACAGATGTTTTCCCTAGATAATTATTGTCATTAAAGAAAAGGAAGAAGCGGAGAACAAAATTACCCAAATTGCAGCCCGTCTTTTCCGCCTGTGCTCTTATACAAGATGGAGCGTTAATGGGGGATCCTGTGATCTGTCTTTCTGCATCTGTCAACCATCGACATCAGCAGCAGTCGTCTTAACTACTGTGCACTTCAGGTAGTGGCAATAAGGCTGCATCCAATACAATGAGTCTTACCTGCAATCTGGAGTGCCTTAAGAATGTTTAAATGTCTTAGTTATCAATAAGAAGAAGCTGCTCATAACAGCTGGTCAATAACAACACGGAGGCTGCATGAAATGTTTTGTTCGTTGTCCATCCATTGATTTGTTAACTAGATAAGGTCCATATCGATTATGCAAAGTTTACTTTACACCATTAGGGATGTTTGTGGACAAATAATGTATGTGTGAAATAATAACAAATATATAGACTATAAATTCTCCAACCTATTCTTCTGCACTTTAACATGCTTTGTGGTTTATTAAACACGGTAATTTTAGATTTTTTTTTACAGTGTGCTTTCATATAAATGGGCCATATAGAAAGCTTACATTGTTGTGGCTTTATTACACTAAAATGATGATAGTAAAATAAATAATCAGTGAAAATATTATTGAAATAGTTGGGTTTTATGATGTTGGTTCTTTTAAAAATATTGTGATGATCAATGTTCGATTAAGTTTATTTCAGAACATTTAAAAACAACCAAGTTACATAACTAATGCAAGAAAATCATAAGAAATCACATCCATTGAATATAAAAAAGCTGATATAACAAAGAACACTATGAGGCATATGCAGTTATACGCAGATGTTTCCAGGCAATGTAATAAAATACACATAACCATTTTGTTGCACCCTGATCTGTTCCAACAATTATATTAAGTTAAGAAAAAACAACATGTAAATGTGAAGAGGTCACACTCAAGAAGGGAAGGCAAGGTTTATTTGTAAAGCACATTTCAGTGACAAGAGTATTTAAAGTGCTGCACATGAGAAATAAAAGTACACTGTAGTGGCAGAAAGGCAACACAAAAAAGAGATTAAAAGTCAATTATAATCAGATGAATATATTAAGAATATACAAAATGCCTCATTTTAAATATTGGATTGACACAATTCCAATTTTTGTCAAGTTAAAACAGAGTCAGCTGATTGCAATTAGTCTCATTTTAATCTAAAATCATAAATACCTACAAAATAAACATTTTCGATTCAACCCCCCCCATAATTGAATACAATATTAAATGAGTACAACAGCAAACACATTTATTGTTTTTAATCCAACTTTTTACATTATTCAACCATCCGATGTTTAAATGTATAATGTTTTAACTGCTTTTTTGTTTAGAAACCCCTGTTTTTTTTTATGCAACGAATAGTACATTAACATTCATTTTAGCACAATCCTCCCACTAAATATTGCACAAAGTTATTTATATGGCAACGAGGCAAACAATTTTGTCTTTAAACTGAAGATATTTCCAATCCTGAGAGAACTGTGACAGTTCAGCTCTGCATAAAGGATTGCCTTACGAGTTTAACCATTGCTATTCAATATAGATCATTTAGTACAATTAAAACCAATTACCATGAGGCTATTTTTTCCACTAAGCTAGTTACTAACACCAGTAATCCTCGTTCCTTCCCAACAGCCAGCGCTATTTGGATAGCAATTATTACACCAACCTCAGATGCATTTTCCCCCCTTTAGTTCGGAGGTCCATACCACTTTGAGGTAATTGCTTTGAGCAATATTAAGCTAGAATATCTCCACTGGATCAACACCTGTGAAACAGGGAGTACAAAGGTTCTGGCTTGAGACTAAAATGCAATTCATTGTGCTCATTATTTTTAAAGTGTTAAAATGTTTCCAACTAATGAATTCAAGTTAAGACGTTAAAGTCCTGACCCTGATTTAAAAAGGAAATATATGTAAAATGATTTAATAAATGGAGCCGAAGCAGATGGGCTCCGTGTCACGGCATAGCGCCGAGATGTTTCCCTTCAGGGCATGTCTAGCGGTGCCACTGTTGGATGGCCAAACAACCTGGACTCCTCCAACTGCGGAGAAGATGGAGTGGCTTTACTCTAAACTCCCATGGATGACCTGGCACCTTGCTTTATTTCTAAGGGTCAGTCCTCCTATTGAGGTCACTGATTGTAGAGGCTTGCATCCAGAATGTCAGTCCTGTCACTCACCTGGTCCTGCAGGTTTGAAAGAAGTAAATCTTTATTCAAAGAGGAATGTTCATTGAAATTATTTAAGCTTCAATATTTGATCATTTTCAGAATCTATGTACTTGTATCTTTATTCTACATTTGCCATCACAATTTGCAGCAGGAACAAATTCTGTATACTACCAACCTTATAATAATGACAAAGTTATAGATATTTGTTGATGTTTTTATCTTTTAAAATGCAAACATATCCAAGTGAATAAACCTAAATTTATGCGCTGAAAAACATCAGATTTTCTATTGAGCTCATGATTTGCATGATATGGTTCAGCAAAAAATAAGATGGAATACTTTGCAGGGAGTTATTTTTAACTTCAGTCTGCAGTTGAGAGATAACACAACTACCTGCCAGGATGTATTTTTATGACAGCTTTTAATCATCGAGTAAACAATAAGCAAAACGGCGTCGATAAATAACCCCCCCATGGTGGGAAACTTAACAGCCAAAATAGCTAAAACCAAAATGTCTTTTCAACCTTTATATAGCGTATGTAGGGCAAGCCTGCCTTTGAAATGCCAGCCTACGCTTTGTGCCTTTCAAGTGATGGCTGGGTGGTTACTTTACATTTGTAACTGATTTATTTTTATTTCTGGTGGACTGATATGGTTTTATGAATACAATGTTCAGCTCAGCCCCATTCAGCTGTTTGATGAATGAGCGTGTGATTTTTGTGGATGTGTGGAACAGTTTCCATCTTCTGCATTATAGATATGAACTCTGGACAACGCATAGATGCAACCTTGGATGTGCCTCTCGAGTATAACTGTGTTGCACTTGTGTTTGATCTTCTTTAAAGGGGGAGGGGGCATTTCGCTGGGATGGAGAAGCAGTAAACACACTGAAATATACTCATACTTAGAAGAGCAGTGGTAGAGATGCTCCCTGCTTGTGTTTGTTTCAGTGTGTGGTACTGAAGGGGGATTCATATATCTGTGTGTGAAAATTGAAAAACCCTTTTGTCATTTGGAGAATGTTTTTGACCATTTGTTTGTTTTTCAACCATATTCCTGCATCTCTTTCTGCCTGCTCCTGCTCTCTGCCTGCTCATAAAATACATCAAACAGGGAAAAATCATAATCTTCCATCTATCTGCCTGCCTTTTGAAAACAAACTGCAGGATGCAATTGTAGCCGCCCTAATCTGAACTCTGCGTTGTGTATAACAGTCAAAGGAATCAGCAGACGAGGACCATAGGTGTATTGCAGCAGTAGGGCAGGTTTATTCTGTTTAAAACAAAAGAAAATTCAGGACAGCAGTTCTTGGGTTCGGGCTTCCCCACACATACACCTCTCCCCAGCGCGGCTCGGCGCGAACTCAGACAGGAATGTGTTGAAAACAACTAAACTCCTCTCAGAGGTTCAAAAATAATAAAATAATACATTCATTCATTCAAAACAATTAAATAAAATGCAAACGGATATAATCTGCCCAATATTTGCAATTCTTTCAGGCCAAATTGAATTAATAATAAAAAGAACTTTCCATAAAAATATACTGAATACATTAATTAAACAACTCACATACCTGTTTAAAACAAAAGAAAATTCAGGACAGCAGTTCTTGGGTTCGGGCTTCCCCACACATACACCTTAACAAATGAGAAGAACGAAAAGAACCACATTGGCACAGTAGACCCAATAAATGTCACCAGTGTAGGAATTAAAAACCCAAAACAGCGCTGCACTAAACATATAACATTTAACCAAAGGTATATAACAACGTGAGTTTATAAAACATACATTTTTGATATTTTTAAGAAACAAATAGAAGACCACACTGTATGCTTACCTCTCCCCAGCGCGGCTCGGCGCGAACTGAGGAAAGCAGCGGGAACACACAGGATATGACGCGAAAACAGGAAACAAGAAAATAAAAGCTTCTCCGCCAAAATAAAATACAATTTAAAAACAAATATAAAATAAATTATCAAAACGGATTTGGAGTGAAATATAAACATTTTTTGCACACTTGCTACATCCACCCCTCCTATATTTCACCAAAATCCAAGTCAGTCTAAATTTTACGATCCCAATACATGGAAAACTGACAAACTTGATGAACATTTAGCACAGGGTTGCTATACCCTAGTATAACACTCGGCTTGAGAGCCACCTACAAAACAGGTTTCGAAGGGACATACGGTTGATCAGGCCTCTGCCCTTCTCAGATCAATATGATGCCATTTACACCATACAATTCTGTGCCAACTTTACACCCATAAACACAAGATACAAATTAGAGGAAAACAATATCCCATTAAAATTACATTGCTGAACTGTCCATGAACAGAACTCTAAACAGATTAACTCAAAACCA